TTTTTTTTTTTTTTTTTTTACTCAGGAATTAGCAAAGATTTTTGTAGGCAATATCTTTTATTGGACCAGTGCATGCTTGGGATAAAGTTAGACAAGCTTCCAAATGCAAACCAATTCAATAGCTTGTCTAACCTTATCCCTGCAGTTGGTTCAATAGAAGATATCACCCACAAAAATCCTTACCTCTTGCATAATTTCTGGGCCATCGTGGCTACATCACTCCAACACTACCAGCACTTTTTTTTTTATTCAGTTTCTTTCAAAAAGATCTTGATTTTTAAAGGCTGGCTGTATTTGATATTAATCTTTCTGTCTTAGTTGGAAAAGAGTCTTGATAAAACACCCATCCAGATGCTACCGAACCACATGTCCAGGTAAAACCTTGTTTTTCTAAAATCTTGTTTTACTGTCTAAGAAAAAGATGTGAAGTAGATATAGGTGTTGTTTTTTTACTTTTTATTTTAGGGACGGGGGTTACTCATTTTAACTCCTGTTCTGTTCCTAAGCGAAGGTCAGAAAATCAAGATAATGTAATTCTCGGTGAGGTTCAGCAATGGGGACTGACCTTTTACCAATTTTTTGTTAATCTCCAAAACAAAGCTGAAGACTTCTTCACTGTCTCGCTTGAGTTTCTGACCGTGAAATAGTTTTGCTGGCTAAAGATATTCACCTATCAGTATCTCCTTTTGCTCATGGAGGAGACGATGTAGTTAGTTTGCAATTTTTCATGTTCACATTTAGAGAGGGAATCGCGCTTTTCAAATGACTAGTATCCCTTGCATGGGCCAGTGAGAAATCATGCCTGAATGCTGTGTTAGCTTGGGAAATGTCACTGTTACTAGTATGGCCTTTAGTAGGTGAGTGCGCCATTCATTTGGGATCATCAGTGTCATTAATTGAGGAATAAATTCAACAATTGGGATTGCTTTGTTTTTGTGGATGAGCAGTAATAGCTATGCAGCCAAAGCCAAGCTGATGGACCACCCAGTGGTCCAAATCCTGGAAGGATGCAATGGATTTATGGTGCTGGGATGCCCTCTAAAAGTATATTGTCATCCATGCTCCGTGTTTCGCCTTCCCAAGTTGTAGGGGAAATGGAGACTCCTTGGTCTAGCAAAACTGATATGTGCTGCACAGCTGATGCATCAGGCTGTGGAGGAGGCACAATTTGAGAATGAACAGCCCACAGATTGTTTGACATACGCTGCCAATGTGCATCTCCCCAGCACAAAGTCTGAAGCTCTGGGAGGCTTGTATGTAGTCAGGGACTTGGTGGGGTCCAGGCTTTCTGCTTAAAAAAAAAAAAAAAAGTATAATCCTAAAAGAATCTGACTGGGGAATGGGCTAGATTCTCATCTTAGCTTCACTGGTGTCAGTTTGGAAGAACTGGGCTGACTTCAATAGTTGCAAATTGACACCAATATAATCTGCCCTATTCCCCCCACAGCAGTTGAAGAGCAAAGTGATAAGCTGCAGTTTGGGCTGGACAGGACTGTAAAACCAATTCCTAAGTGCAGTGGGATTTGATGAAAGCACCTGCCAAGTACAAGCCTGGTAACCTGCTGGAGCTGCCACTGGGAAGAATGGGGTCATTCTGGTTGAATTTGGCAAATGGATAACCCTTGGGAAAATCTATACAAACACCAGAGCCTTGTTTAACTGGATTTTACCAGAGCAAGATGGAGCAGGGAGGACGCCTCATGAGACACCTTGTAAATCAAGGGAGAATTGATAAGTGCATGGCCAGACCTGCATTCAATGATCTTACTCTGCTGTGCAACACAACTGCTTCCTGTTAGGATCTGGTCCTGCTTGTTCTTTAACCTAAAGCAATGCTACCATTGAACCAAAGTGAGAAGAGTCAGGTTCCCTAATGATCTTCTCTCTCGGTCTCTCTTTGTCTTTCTCTTGATCTGGTGCCTTTCAGATCCCTGCGATTCCCAGCCTTGCCAGAATGGAGGTACGTGTGTCCCAGAGGGACTGGAAAAATACCACTGCGTCTGCCCGGTTGGATTTGGAGGTGATGCCAGATGCGGTAGGTTGATCCATCTAGCACTCTTGTGCAGTGTGGGCCCTTGAGCCTCTCGATCAGCTTGCTCTCTGCCTTCCCGTAACATCCCAGTGTGGCATCATGATGTTGCTCGGGAAGACTGGGACCATCTTGCTGCCTTTCTAAAGCTCTGGTCCCAAGTTTTAAGTTTGGTTTTGTGGATATATCACCTCAAGGGAGGGGCTTAGCAGAGTGCTCCCATCCCCACTTCACCCCGTGGTGCTTGCAGAACGTCCCTGCACAAATAGGCCAAAAATGCCAGGAGAGACGGAGGATTTTGCCCAGCCTGAACATCCATACAAGGGCCGGATTGTCCAGAATTCCCCTGCTAGAAAGCCAAGCCACCCCTTGAAGGTCATTAACGATAGATGCCCTAATTGAGTCCTTCTCTTGTGACACCCTGTAGCATATTTCCTGGCCCCTGAGGTGGCTGGGACATTGTAGTCCCCCAGTAGAAGGTGTCCTGCCCAGCATGTTCTCCTGCCCACTTGGCAGAAGGGTCATGGTGTGCAAGCCCGGACCACCCGTGTTGCAGGAGACCTCGGCAATGCACTTGTGGCCTGTGCACTTATTCTTTGCATGACACACGGTTACTTCCTCCTCCCTTCCAGCACCAAAGCTGAGCCTGGAGTGCAGCGTGGACCTCCTGTTCCTGGTGGACAGCTCATCTGGTACCAGCCTGGAGGGATTCCTGCGCTACAAGGCTTTCTTGAAGCGGTTTGTCCAAGCGGTATTGAGCAGGGACACCCCAGCAAAGGTCGGCGTGGCTCAGTACAGCAATAACGTCACGGTCCCCATTGCAGTGGGAGCCTACGAGGATGTGCATGGTCTCGTGAGGAGCATCGATGCCATGCTCTTCACTGGAGGAGAAACCCTCACCGGCCGTGCCCTTTGCTACATTGCTCAGCACGGCTTTAAGAGTGCTCCAGGCTTCACGGACGCCCGTGTCGAGCTGCCCCGAGTGGTGGCCTTGTTCACAGATTCAGAGTCCCAGGATCCGGTGGCAGAAGCGGCCAAACATACCCGGGACCAAGGAGTCTTCCTGATCGGTGTGGGCAGCGAGTTCCTGCGGGTGGAGCTGGATGGCATTACAGGGAGCCCGAAGCAGACCATTGTCTACTCCAACCCCCAGGATCTGTTCAACAAGATCCCTGAGCTGCAGAAAACCATCTGCAGTGTAGACAGACCTCCAGGTAAGGCCGGGGTGGTGCCCTGCGAGAGTCATGAGCGGAGCTCAGGAAATGAAGCTCTAGGCGTAAGGAACAGGGCATTCAAAAACCACATTTCTCTGCCCCTCAAAGCAAAATGATGCCGACTCCAGCTATGCTGGTGCTGGTGCCCTCTCTGCAGAGCACTCTTCGAGCACTGAGGGCTAGCATGCATCTGTGCTGTTGTCCCAGCCCCAAGGGGGTAGAAGCGTATAGACCTCCCCCACTCAGGCCAGGACCAGGCGTAACGCTAGTCAGCCTTGGTGAGCGCAAGGGCTTTACCTTCTGCTGTATGTGGAGGTGTTGTGGCACTGCCCCAACCCTCGTGCCAGCCATAGAGCTGGCTAGTCACATGTGGGTGGGAGATGCAGACTGCTGGAGCCTTTCTGCTCCCTAAAGAGCTGCCCTGCACGGGTCATCTGCTTGGAAATCGTGAATGGCTCTTCTCTGGCCGCTCAGTGGGATGGGGATTTTCCTTTGCAAACTTAAGTCGTTGGCTGAAAGGTTTCTGCTTCCTTCCTGCCTCGCAGGCTGCCAGTCTCAATCCCTGGACCTGGTGTTTGCGCTGGCTGCCTCGACAGGCGTGGGCAAGGAGAACTTCCTGCGGCTGCGGGACTTCGTCAGCTCCAGCTCCCTCCAGTTTGACATCAACCGGGATGTCACCCAGATCGGCCTCGTTGTCTATGGCAGCAGAGCCCGCACGGTGTTTGCACTGGACACGCACACCACCGCTACGGCCCTCCTTGAAGCCATCGACAGCGCGCCTTTCGTTGGCGGCTCAGCCTCCGTTGGCAGTGCCTTGCTGCGCATCCATGACGATGTCATGACGGTCCCCAGGGGGGCCAGGCCAGGCGTGAGCAAGGCGGTGTTGGTGATCACGGATGGCGGGGGCGCGGAGGATGCAGCAGTTCCAGCTCAGCAGCTGCGGGACAACGGCGTGCTGGTGTTTGTTGTGGGCATCGGGGGCGTCCAGCGTGACGTGTTGCTCAGGATTACCGGGTCACCCCACCATCTGATGCATGTCCCCTCTTACGAAGAGCTGCCAAATCACAAAGACTTCATCATCAGAAGAATATGTGAAGGTGAGACCATTTGTGATTTCCCTTCTTGGGAGCTAAGTCCTAGCTGCATGGCTCAGCCAAAAGTGGCTCTTCAAAGCCTTGTACAGCAGGCAGACCAGGGGTCTCCTCGAGGTAGTGGTCCACAGCTCTCGGTAGACCTCATAGGAGGCAACATTCGTTCCACTTTATAAATGGGCAAACCAACGCATGGTGTGAGCAAGTGACTTGCCAAAGGTTACTCCTAAATCCACAGTCCAGGGTTTCTTTTGCCGTGGCTGGCTCTTGTAATCCTGCCCAGATTAAGTCGGGTACTCTGGTTCCTGGAGGCACGGGATTCATTGCCTTGCACATATACAAGGCAGTCCATGTCGTACAGGATTTGAACAGGGCACATATTACAAAGCAGCTGCTGGTCTCTTCCTTCTGACCTACTAAGCAAGCTTTCTATGCTAGCAGATTTTGGCCAGGTTTGGAGCCAGAAGCTGAGACTTGTCGCTCAGAGTTCATTGCTTTCCTCCTATTGTCTCCTCATGGCTGACTTTCTTGCCCTTCTAGTTGCTGGCCATAAACCAGTAATGGGCGCTCAAAGTCAAACATGGACCTGATATGCAGGTAAACTTATTTTTCTTTTTTTCCCCGCCTCCCGTCTCACTTTTTTCTGAATTGGAGTGATGCTACATGTTCTCAGTGGTAAACCCAGGGCAGGCATTGCTACCTGTGGAAGCGTGTCCTTTGCTGCTCAAAGGAAGGGGGTGGATAGAGGAATACTTCTCAGCCTTTTGGTTCTTTCCTTTTTCGTTGTGTTGTCTTCTGCCATGTGCTAGTAAGCACGAAGGCTGCAATAAACCACAAAGGTAGATGCAAAAGGTGACGTGTTTATATTGACAGATGAAACAGAACCTTGCTAGGCCCTGTAGTGTTATGTAAGAGTACAGACAAGGACTTGATCATTGTATACAAGGGTTTAGTGCAGTGGTTCTTAACCTTTTTAGACTCAAGGCACTTCTCAATTAATGTAGGGTGCTCCTTGGAAAATACCAGCTCTTAGTTTTCACTTTTTTT